AATTGAGTGCTCAAAATATCAAGTTTTTGTGCTAATATGTGTGATGTACACAGTGCAGCTTTAGGTTTCCAGGTAAAGCACGATATTACTGTCTTACTGAAGTAGTTCTGATAATTCACTGTGAACCCACTATTTCCTAAGAATGTGTCGATTAATGTAGACTGACGTTGTTCTAATTACGTCGCTTAATAATAAAGAATGTAGTGTAGCACACAGACTTTATAATCATTGTGAAATTGCTGGGTTTTTTGCTGCACCGGCAGTTATAGGGTTAATGCGGGAGAGACGAGCGAGTTAAGTTAGTTAGGCTGGTGCGCCTGTGATACAGCTGTTCTGCTTTCTGATTAAAAGTTAAGTTTGTCGGTCGTTCTTCAAACATTACAGTAGACATATTTTGGTTTATGCCAATCACAGCAGGCTTGGCCAGCTGACAGAGCAGAGTAGGCTTATGAAAGGGAGGGGTTTGCTCTGAACTTGCTTGGAACGAATCGTTTCGAAATCATTGGCAAATGACTCTAATATTAAATGTATATTCTGAGAAAATTACAATGTTTTCTGACCTTAGATGCATTTAAACCTGTTATAGGGGACTCCAACACAATATTAGGACACTTTAAAATACCATATGACCGGTTCTTTAATAACTTTGATACGTTTAAAAATATCAATATTCAATCCCATTTTAAATACCACAGGGAATAATTGCCACACCATTTTTGAACAGTACAGAAGTTAAATTAATTTTGACCATTTTCTTATCAACAAACTCTGAACTGTAACTCTGAAACTCTGAACTGTAACAACAAGAATATTTTATAATAAGTATATTAATTATATTACTTTAGAGTTTTAAAATTGCAGCACTTAAGGCTTCATTTCTTCACTTGCAAGGCTTAAACCTTCAAACGTTTATGTTGCCAGAAAACTCCAGCGAGGCCTTTAAGTGTATGTTCAACAGGTTTACAAATGCTTCTCATTACAAATCTACCTGAAATGTGTGAAAGCATAACATGCTGTAATCATCTGCCCACAAAATGTTGGAAATTATGCAAATGTGAAAAAGTATAACTGGTGCACGATGTGTTCCCAAATGCGGATCACCCAGCCCTACCACAAGTGGTCACACATATCTTCCTTCATTTATAGTCATATAGATTGATTATACTTCCTGCTTAAGCCATACTTTCTCCTGTGTCACCTATGCAGCAGTTTAACCCATTTCCCACTGCTTTAAAATAGCTAATAATAATAATGCATTTCCTCCTGCAGCACATGCAGATGTGCCAGATATAGCAGAGCGGCTCCAGCAACTATCTGTCAAGTGCCATTTTAAAGGATTATGGTGTATACATTACAGTCCTGCAAAGAACCTAGAGACAGTTTAAAATGTTTGTGCTAGCCAGTGCCTGCCCGCCTAATATGCAGACCCCACAGCCTTCTGACATTGATGAATTTTTAGATCTCTGGATCAACATCCTCTCGTGGCCTCTTTGCATAAGTGATATTCACTATTCCAGGGGCTCCTTAGTTTGCCATGCCAACAAAACCCTTTTTTAGGCTTGCAAATCATGAGATGACATATTTACCGCTGTCAAAATGAAGAATGATCGAGTGCATGTTCTGAATTACTTTCAAGTGTGAGATAACTGGGGTGGATTTGGAGCTAGTTGACATGCTTTGTTCAAACTTCAATGTACTTCTAAGTTCTCAAGGTTCCTCTCATTTGGAAATAACAGCGACAGCGAGCGGGAAGTCGTGGCCTAATGGTTAGAGAGTCGGACTCGTAACCCAAAGGTTGCGGGTTTGAGTCTCGTACCGGCAGGGACTGTAGGTGGGGGGAGTGAATGTACAGCGCTCTCTCCCACCTTCAATACCACGACTGAGGTGCCCTTGAGCAAGGCACCGAACCCCCAACTGCTCCCCGGGCGCCGCAGCATAAATGGCTGCCCACTGCTCCGGGTGTGTGT